ACCGGCGGCTACTTTTGGGGGATTCTTTTATCTTAATCGGTTCCTCCTCTGTCATTGGTGGTTGTTCCAGGACAGGTTCCATCAGTGGTGGTTGTTGTTCCTCCATCTTGTATAGTATGGTTTATATTTTTTTCTTTAAATCGGCAATGCTTCGCCGTGATGATGCCCGCGGTCAGAGGAGCCAGCAGCATCCCGTATCGATGAAACATTTCGCAGCTGACGGTGCTCAAAGCGTGGTTGATGAACGGATCTTTCTCGAGGTCACAAACGCTGTGTTTCCTGTGCCGGCCCGAGAAGGCCAGGTACGACAGTATGTCTCGTTTTTTTACCATGTCTTTGTTGGCGCAGCAGACGTCCAGGAGGAACAGCGTCGACTCCCCTTTCAATTTACTGTGATAAGCGGTCAACCAGTCCTGCAGACGCGTTCCAGGATCCACCCTGTGCACGTCCGGGTCCGCCATCATCCACGCTCTCTCCGTGTACGTCTTGTTCATCCGCAACGTCGGGCAGAGAATGACGATGTGATTGAACGCGTCCTGATAATATCCTTCCAGCAGGTCCAGCACGAAAGCCGTTTTACCGCACCCCGTCTAACCACACAAGATGGCGCAATGCGGATCCAGGGGCAGTTCGATATCAATAGATGGCTTGCACGAATCTTCCATTGTCCGTGCAACCGATCGTCTTCCGTGGATCGCATGTCCAGCCACAGCACGTACTTCGTCGTGAGGTTCTCTCCTACCGACACAGAGGCGAGACCAAGGTCCTTGACGATCGCATTGATTTCAGGCGGGCGCTTCATTGCCGGTAACTTTTGGATCTCGTCCCACTGATGGTAAGCATGCATGCCTTGGCTGAACAGCTGGTTGGGCACGCCCTCAACGGTCACCTCGACTTTCGTGATCTCGGGGTTCCAATACTTTTTGTTGACCCTTCGAAACGGCGAAAATTCTTCCACCGGCAGGATCAAAATGCCCTTCATTGATCGCGCAGGTACGTTCAGGTTGATGTTTCACAGCGTGTCGCTCTTGTTCGCGACGATCTTCCGGTGATGCAGCACGCGATCGTACAGGATGGCTAACGTGCCCGAATACTGGTTGCGAATCTGTTGAGCCAATTCTGGATTCTTCACCTTGTCAAACTCCAGCGAAATATTGTCGATGGTGTAGCGGCCCTCCTCACCGCTCTCCGTCACGATCATGTGAGTGTAATCGTTAAAAGCAAGTTCGTACTCCAGCGCGGCTTGGTAAAACAGCATGTGACCCTCCAGCATCGGCGGTCGCGATGACCATTTCATTGTTGTTGCCCACTACTTTGTGGATCCTCAGTCGTATGTCGCTCGGAGCCATGTACAGTCCCACGCCGAACACGTAGTTGACTTTCGACCGGGCATATTCCAACGTGTCCTGGTAACGCTGGATGGCACTCGGTAAATCCACAGGTCTGGCGATGGCGTCCTCGACGTTCGACACGAACTTGTTCTACAAGTCGTAGGCATCCCTAGACCCACGATGTCGGAACGCGTTTGCGACTGCGCGCCCAGCAGCGCCCACACGTACGTTCGAATCGAATCGTTCAACCGTACGGTGCCCGCGCGAGTGAACCCTTTCGACGTGTCCAGGATAAATCGTTTCCAATCGTCTGCGGGTCCCTGCTCAAACCTCCAAACGCGATAATCCTTGCTGTCGTCAAAATCCATGAGATCATCTCTCCACTTGTTACTCAAGATGTAAGCATTCGCATACTTTTTACCACCCCATTTTTTCTTGCTGGCTTCTACGAGGGGCATGTTGTGAACGATAGGAATACCCAAACCGTGATTCACGCCTGGCAAACGCCAATCCATGTTCGGATCGATTTCGAAATCATCGCAAATCCGTTCGTAAGCCCGCCAATCGTACGGATTGTTCTTTGCGTTCCAAGCCTTGTCCTGCGGAATCGGGGTGTTTATTTCTTTCAGGATGCGTCTGATTTGGTAGTACACTTGGAAATAGAACACGGACCGACTCACCGCATCACGACGAGTGTCGTTGAAGGTCAGGCCACACCTGGTCGTCGCACACCACACGGCGAAATTGAATTGATTCTGGCATAACTGCATCAGGATGTGAAACCATGCATGGACTGCCTTGACGTTCATGACTGAAAGCCTATACTTTTCAAATACATCGCTAAATTGAGCTCGAAAAGTGGGAACCCTCCTTAGCATCCACCACGATTTTCATGTGCGTGAGATCGGTAGCACTTAAATTATCGCTTTTAGGATAAATCACTCCAGGCTGGTACTTGGGTGTAAACATATTTCATCATGCTCCCGGGAATCACGAACGGCGAACCCATTCCTCTGCTGCAAGCGATCGATAACACGTCGGGGGAACTCAAAGTCGCGCTCTGCGATCTCACCTACTACCCGCGATGGTCGAATATCAGCGCTAAGAGAAACAACAACAAGCTGTTTATTGATAATAGCCGCCACCTGTTGACCGACGTTTAATATAACGTGTGTATGCTGGACGACGAAATTTTCAAACCCATCGGAGCCAGTCTTAAACTCAACGAGTCAGATTGCACTCTCAAGTTGACGAATGGAGACCAACCCATCAAACTGGGCTGACCCTTGGCGAGAACACTCGGGTTAGCGCCTTACGAGATAGCACCTCGAGACACTGTCACGGGCTCGAAATTGCCGAGCCTCGTCCCCTACCGCTGAACTGTGCATTCACCTCGATCAGCTGAGCACGACAGACAACATTCAAGGCAAACGACCTTCCATGCTGCTGAGAGCCGTGCCGGTGAAAACGGAAAAGTACAACAATGGCAGAACCGAATCATTTTCGACCTTGCAGTACAAGAAATTAACGCAAGTCAACATCACGGAATTGAAACTATCAGTTTTAGATATAAAATATAAACCCGTTCATATAGGATACCCGAGCATGACGCTGCACATCAAACAACGATGACTGAAGCTTCGGGTCCGGGAATGCAACCGAGAAAATGTGCCAACCTAACGATCTCCAACCTCGGGGACATGCGCGCTTTCGACGAGCCCGGCATCGACGGCAGACTGTATGCCTTGCAACTCAAAAACAACATTTATAAACGCGTCGAAATGAGCAGCGGATCTGGTGGTAACCTAGGAGATTTAGACGATGTCGAGACCGGAGGTCTCTTAAAAAACACGCAGTACAATCTCGTTCGCAACACCAATAATAACACACGGTGATGGTTCCAGCCTTCGGCGGCAAACTGTTCGACCTGGACGACGTTGAGAAGACGGTCGTCGCTCGAAACACGCCGTACACGCCCGCATTTACCAACAACAACCAATGGGTGTTCGTGCCCTCTCGAATTGACTTGAATCTCAACATCGCGCTGGACTCTCCCCACCTGTTCACGGAAAACAAAGACCACCACCTCACGAAAGTCATGAACAACGGAACGCTGATCTTGGCTTATGTCCCGACGCAAAGATGCAGCGTCATCATCAGCACGCTGTCGCAACCCATAGCTCACATCCTATCGAGTAAACCCAGGACGTCAAACGCGACGTTGCAGTTTGTGTCAGAATTTGACAGCATGGTCGACATCCTGCAAAATCTGCCGGCCCAATCCACGCTGATCATCCAAGTCTACCTCGGCAAACCACGGGTTGGTAACGTCAAAATCGTCAAAGGCATCAAACTCCAGTGGACCCAACAACACCAATACCACGTTTGCTCCGTTTACGTACGGTTGGGCGTGGGTGCCTTCACCAGTCAGCAGCAAGTCAACATCACTGTGGAAAACACGATAGCGCTCACGAAAATTTTCCTACAAAATAACATTCATCTGATGGGTTTGAAATGCACGGCCGAAAAATTATCTGAAAACCAATTAAAATTTCTTCTCTAATATAAACCATGACAAACTTGACTCCGCAAGCCACCATCAATGCCATCGATGGGCGTGGACACGGCCCTCGTGGTCGCCGGCATGGGACTCGGGGGTGCTGGCATCGTCTTGTTGTCGACCATCGTGGCCGCACCCGTCGTCCTCGGGTTGGAAGTAGCCGTCCGGGTATCGGGGCTGGCGGGAGTAGCCCTTAAATTCATTTCACGTCGTCAGCAACGTAAGGCCTTGAAACACGACGAGATCAGGGTGCTGGCCCGAAGCCAAGCTGAACACGATCGACGATCGCGTCTCGTCGGCGCTCACGGACAGTAAAAGCTCCGAAGAAGAGTTCCGCCTGATTTTAGCCGAACTCGCCAAGTACCACCGCATGGAAGGAAGAGATTCGAACCAAGACTTCAGCGAAGACGAGAAAAAAATGCTCATAGAACAAGGCCGACAACAGGTCATTCAATCCTTCCTGACCAAGAACGTAAAAAGATTCACGTTCAACTGCTTCGTAGATGTCATCATGACATAGTCACATGACAGGCCAGTCCTCCTAGGAGGAGGAAATCCCCGACCTCGCTTGCCCACGTGACCTGACTCGGCTCAGACTCACAAAAGTGTTTTCGCTACCCCGACTCGAACTGCAAACGTTGGATTACAAGTCCAACGCTCTAACCATCACACTGGCGAGCCGGCTGATAGTCCAGTGCTCGGAACTTTGGGAGATGCTTTAGAGCGAGTCTTGTCTGTATGATTCACTAAAGTTTTTATAAGCCTGTTTAAATAGTCAGTGATATATCCACTGTCTATTCAGGGCAGCACACAGCTATACATAACTCTATTGCTATACGCTCCAGCAGATCGGCTGTATTGGTGACTGTGCATTCAAGCTATATATAGCTGAGCAGGTCACTCTGACTGTGAGAGAAAGAGTAGTAATAAGATTGGGGTACGGGTCACTGGCACATCGAAGGATGTCTCTCGATAGATTCTCACCGTTTTTAAATCTGCAGCAAAACCCCCCTCTATTACTACTACTTGACCTCCAGTCAAGTGTGCTAAAAATTACAGAGATATTTTCATATTAAAGAAAGTTAACCATGCTTAGATTTATGACTTACCCCACCTAATCCCATCATCATCCTCATTTTGACAGCCCGTAATTTTGCTTGTTTTGATCTGCGTCCGGATATGTGTGGGTTCAAGACAGACACTTTCCCTGACTTGGGTGTTGGCATAGGTACAAGTGGGGTCCTGCAACAGCACAAGCAATAATTCTTCTGATAGCTTCCAAGTCAACAACAAAAGTCTGTATCCAACAACAATAACTACATACCTATATGCATGGGATAAGCTTTCAGGACTGATAATATGTATCAGTGAATACCCTAAACATACTCCCTGTTGAGTGATTCCAAAGTCTTCTTCTAGGCAGATAGGCTTGGGACTAATTTCATCATCACTTCTGGATCCTTGTCCTACTGCTTATCACTAATCATGCCTTGATTCAATCCTGGGTTCCATTTGTTTATTGTCATTTCCCTTGTTATATGTTACCATTGTTATTTCATCATTCATGTCTGTATTAATAATCACTGGCTTTCATTTGTCCATCGACCTTACCAATTTAGAGATGCTTAACTACTGTCTTCCCTTGTTATCTTATCTCTGTTGTTGTTTCACATGTACATATATTGAGAATACTAAACAATGTCCCGTGTAATACCATCTTTATGAAACAAATGAATGGTTTGCTATCTCATGAGCAAAACCGAGTTAGATACCAATACCATTCATGAGTTCCATAAATATGGTATTACACGGGACATGGTTTAGTATTTTATTTATTACTCACCCAACATTAACAATATAATATCAAGCAAAGAACTTCTTTCCTAAGAATTCAACGAGTGTGATGACTCTCAGCTTTCCGTGAGTCTAGCAAGGTCTAATACTATTGTGATAGATGTATTAGCATTGTGACGTCATAACTGTAAACCACTTTGACGTCATACGTACGGCATCACGCGATGTTATTACACAATGTGTAAGAACATTGTAAAATTATTAAACAGTGATATCTTCAATGGGTGAGTAATAATTGCTATCTGTTTCCTAGTCTTTCATCAACACATCATGGTGCTCCAGAATTCACTGGACACACACCTAACACTACCAACACTCCTAAGCCCACTAAATAACACCCTAACCTTCCAAGCCTTAGGCATATTTCTTATCAAAAATGGCCTTTCAGGTCACTTATAATCCCACATAACGAACTATTGCTAACTAAACACTTTCCTACAATCTCCCATTCTACCATTTCATATATACCATCTGAACAAACAAAATCAATGTTCACAGTATTTCAATAGAATACTGATTAAAAAATATATACGCGAGAGAAATAATCACTTTGCCAAATGGGAGTACGTCCTTGGACATGATATTAACGAACAAGAGTATCAATTCTATTCCAGTTATTTGCACCAATGTGACTGAACTACAGTGGTTCCAATATCAAAGCTTACTTCAAAATCTTACATCATATCTTGCCAATGAACTGTCTTCTCACGAAGTTGTGTTACGTGGTGAGTACAAAATGCAGTTACTGTTTTAAACAAATGGAAGATGTCATACATATATTCTGTGAATGCAACAAAGTGAGGTCCATCTGGCGAGACCTGGAAAGTTGGATATCGCACAAAATGCAAATCCCAGTAACAATATCCAAAGAAAATGTTCTTTTTGGCTATTTATTGAAAAATAACAAGTATACCTCTGTCATTAATTGTAACAGAGACTACTTCAATAAGGTTTGGTCAAACTGCCATGCTCTATTCTCCTAAATATACTGTCATGCAGAAGCATGTAAATGCTTATAATAAATAAACAAATCATAAAAAAATACACCAACCAAACCATCCCATAGTTCATCTCCCCTACAACTTCTTGCAAATTTCAAAATTCATACAAATATAATTATGCAACACTGAAGCCCCTTCCAAGTTGCCATATCTTTTGGTTAATTCACCCCTCTTTCGATCAAACACTAAATGGCCTGCCAGGTCCGTGTGCGAAATACACATTATGTTGGAAAGCGCATGCTAAATCTCTAAATCATCATCATCTAGTCTTTCATAGGAGTAAGAATACACTCTGAAATGTTGTGTTCCTCAAATAGGAGTTGACATCCATAATTGCTAGCCTTTATGTGTATCACTTCTAAACGCATTCAAAGACCCCATAGACTTCCTATTCAACACATGCAGCTCAATCTTTTGAATCTTTTGAGTCGATAATTTTAGTCTATATGACTTGTGGGTAATGGAATGAGATATACATATGTTTTAAGTCTTTGGTTTATTGTGAAATCAAACAATAGTTTCCAGTGTGTTTGATTCTAAGAATACTACGTCCTACTACTAAGAATTTTACTTTATCGCCATGAATTAGGGCGTCCGTATTTAATTCTGTGTTTCTCATCTCCCGCCGCCCGTAAAAATCCCACCCGCCCATACAATAAAAAATATATTTTTATTTCTAAACTTTGCGCTGACCGTTCTCAATTGTACACCGTCCATTGAAAAAAAAATGTTTCACCACAAGAAAAAATAAAAATTGTGTTTAAAATGTTTTAAATTTCATTGAAAAACGAATCTTCAGCAGGTATTTAAATGGAAGCAACTCTTGCATCTTTACTCCCTGTCCACTAATATTTACGATCCGACAATGTTAGGAGTTCGAGATTTTCAAGCACAAATATAGCAGTCAACTCCACAATATCGTGTATCACTGGTAGGGAACTTGGTTACAGTGAGAGTGGAGTCTTTGTGAGTTTTGGGACAGAAACTTTATGATTTGTGACAGAGTCTTTGTGATTATAGCATCTGCAAGGCGAGGGTAAGGTACAAAAAATGTCCTGTAGACGTCCAAAATCAACTTTATAAGGGAAATAATTCAACGTTTACCTCAATGCTATGTTCCTTCAGGAACGAATGTAGCTATATTACTCTGAAAACCCTTGATAATCATGTAAAGTAAAAAATTAAGATTTTCATAATTTCTATATAATGAATTGATATATTTGAAAAAAATGATTGAATGAATTATTGCAACATGCAAAGACACAATTATGATTGGGTTTATTGCCCACTGGACAGGAGAGCTGTGTGCCAAAACGCAGCAAAGAGAACAGTACACCAAAATGCACCCGAACACATATAGCTATGGACATGAAAACTTTGATTTTCACGTGCACAATGGACAGTACATGTGATTTCGTGTATGTTTGGAGTCAGTTGTGTGTTGTACCTCAATGTAGCAGCATGTAATAATGTTTCATTTCCAATACGGGAATTTAGAATAGAAACCTTGCAAAAAGCAACTTAGTTGTTCACCTATAAAAGTGGACTTAAAACACAAAGGTGTGTAAAAGCATTAAGATAGTAAATTGTGTAGTTTAATAGCTTTTATAAAAGTTGAATTTGTTTTAGTTAGAATTGTGTTTTGATATTTGGAGTATCTTCACTCCATTTAATGGTAGCAGAGCGTGGTTGGGCCTGTAACCCAGCTTAGTTGTTGAATGCAAAATAGTTTTAGTGTTAGCATCTGTAATTAGAATAGGATACAGGTAAGTTTGAATATTATTGTAAACTTTACTTGAATTTAGTCTGTGAGCAAGTTGTTAATTATAAGTAATGACTGAATCAGTGTCAAACATGCCACAAAAAGGAAGTGATAAAATTGAACCTTCAAATGAAGGTACAGTATTAGACCAACATATCCGTAACCTTAAACAGGAAAAAGCCAAAGCTAAATGTGCCTTCATCAGGGGAAAAAATAGGTTGAGCACTTTAGTTGAACAAGATATGTCAAAACGATGTGCAATTAGGGAAGGCATTGGTCAAGTTAGTTCACTACAGGTGAAAGTCATGGATATTATGGTAAAGCTTACACAAGCTTACACAGGTGCTCATGATACAGGTAATGTGAACAAGGTGGATGCTGAAATATCAAAACTTGAAGCTGAAACTTCTAAAGTGATAGACGTTGCACAGAAGTATCTAGATAGTGGTTCAAGAACTTGTTCACTCTCTAGCCATAGATTGTCCGGGTTGTTTAAAAATGAAAACAAACCTAAACCCAGTTCAGATCAAACTGTAGTTGTAGAAAAAAGACATGACTTCAATAGAAATATGAAGGCAACAAGTGGTATGAGCAGAGATAACCAAGATGAACAGAAATATAATCATAAGGAAGGTTATTCGGTGAAACAGTCTCAAGTATGTGGAAATATAGGAAGCATCACAGGTTTGCATGACACTGAAGATCAGTATGAATTTCCTTATCACCATGAAGGTAGGTTTGAAAACAGAGGAAAGCAAAACATTGCTGTTGGTAATGACATGTGGAAACAACTAAAACGTGTTTCGATACCAGTGTTTTATGGGGATGTCAAGACATATGAAAGTTGGAAGGCCGCTTTCATGACATGTATAGATCAGTCTCCTGCAACTTCAGTATATAAGCTTCTCCAGTTGCGACAGTATCTATCAGGTGAAGCACTGAAGGTAGTAGAAAGTTTAGGCCATAGTGCTGTTGCCTATGATGTTGCACTAGACAGGTTAGAGAGAAAATATGGTGGTAAACGGCGTCAGATAGCGATTCATATAGAAGAGTTGAGCAACTTCAAACCTATTCGTGAAGGTGTTGCCAGAGATGTTGAATGGTTCGCGGACATCTTAGATGTTGCTGTTGTTAATCTGAAAGAAAATGATAGAATTGAAGATTTAGGAAATGGTTTGTTCTACTCTAGTCTGCTTAAAAAAGATGACGGAATCAATGGTTGCACATTATCAGAGTCTGTGAATGCTTTGAGAACGTGGGTTATCCAGGAAGCAGAATTCCTCACCATTGTTTCAGAATCAATTCATGGTGTTGTTAAGAAAGGTAAGTCAGAACCAAAGGTGTACCAATCAGATCAAAAGAAAAGGTTGTCATGTACCTTTGTTAGCTCAAAAATAGAATCAGGTAACACATTCCAGAGTAAAGACAGAAGCTGCTGTCTTTGTAAAGAACATCATGAAATATGAAGATGTAATGTCTTTAGAGCCATGGAGATTTCTGATAGATGGGATGCTGCAAAGAAAGCAAATCTTTGCTTCCGCTGTCTTGGTAGAGGTGAATTTGGGTTTAACGTTGTGCTTGAGAATATTTCGCTCATATGACGATGTCTTGGTAGAAACCATAGT